TCTACCACAAAAAGGATGAAGGCAAATTGGAAATAAATTTGGGGTTATTCATAAGAACTAGCATGCCACTCCAGGGCAGAAACATGATATCTGTACTTAAAGAGTCTTAGCATCATGCTTGCTCACTTTAAGAGTCCAATAAATTCGTAGATTTATTTCCAATTTGCCTTCATCATTCATACACCAGGTACTCTCCAAAGCACTGAAATTAACTTTATTTCATAACAAGCCAGTGAGGAGGGTATTAGTATTCTTTTATGCACTATTGAAATGAGAAAAACCAAAGCATAAAAGAATTCAGTAATATCCTAAAATTATGAAACTAGTTATAAGTGGAGGATCTTGAATATGAGCTTGACCAGTCTGGTCTTGGAGCTTATACTTAGATCATTCTGACTGCAAGATAGAATGGATTCTCCCTCATAACCCTTAGAAGGAACCAACCCTGCCAACACCTTGTTTTTAAACTGCTAATCTCCAGATGGTAAAAAAAAATAAAATTTTTTTTTGTTTAATCCACCCAGTTTGTGGTACTTTGCTTCAGCAATCCTTACACTAGGTAGTAGATACATGAGTGTTTATTTTATATTATGGCTTATGACTTCTAAATGTGTTACATGTTACTTTTTATGTACCAAATGTTTACATAATAAAAATAAAAGACAAAAGGAGTTATTATTCTTTTCAATACTATCAAACTGGGGCATGTTTCTGCTATTAATCTTTATGGCGAATTCAGGAAAAGCTTTTCTTGACATTTTTATTAAAACTATAAAAATCAACTTCCAACAGTTCCTCTGATTTTTATAAGGTTCTCATTTCAATCTCAGTGTCACATCTTCTGAGCAAAGCGTCCTGTATCTCCTGAATGAGAGTGATTGCCACACACACACCTGTCTCGGTATGCTGTCTTCCATGGACAGGCTGACATTTAACACAAGGAGTCCTGGACATATAAAATTACATGCATGCACACTCCGAAGTTAAGTGCCTTCCTCCGGCTTAGAAGCCATGCAGAGCTGGGGCTGCTATGCTTTGTTCGCACAGCTGTACCCCTGCCTCCTATGATACAAACAGTGCCTGACACAAAGGAGGTCCTCAAGAAATTTGAAGGTATAAATGAATAGTTTAACGTGAGTGTCCACTTCTCAGAAATAACAATACCAACTACTGCTTTTCAGAAGACTTTTTCAGCCTTCCCCCAACATCTACTAACTTTTGATCTGTTCATTTCCCTGATCTGCTGATTAACTAGCTCTTCTCCCTAACCTGAGCACTTGTGTGTGTGTGTGTGTGTGTGTGTGTGTGTGTGTGTGTGTCTGTATTTTTCTTTTAAGGATATTTAGTTGTTTAATTTCCCATATTACTACTAATGGTAACATATTCTTTCTATCTTGAGGAGAAGAGGTGTGAGTGCTTTAGAATCTTTTACGGATATTCAGATTAAATGGATCTTGACAAAGGAATGGATTCTAAAAATGGAACTCCAAGAATATATGCAAAATAAATATCCATTTTTAAAAAAATGGAACTTATCTAGTACTCTGAAGACCAAATCAATATTTTTAATATATTACATAATGAATGTTATGATTTGACATTGCATGAATAAAATTTTTTTCTTTTTTCACCCAGTAGATAAAGCCTCTGACATTAGTGAAGTGTCCCAGTGAGAGACATCGAACTATAATCCTGGAATGCTGATTGTAACATTGATGAACTCAAACAACATTTGATAAGTGACCAGGCATAGTCTTAGGTGAGGATGGAGAGATAAACAAGATCTCTGCAGAAATTTGGTTCAGTGTGGGAGACAAAAGTAAACAGATAACAGATAAAAGTAAACAGATAAAAGTAAACTGATTAAGTGCTATTAATCATTAAAAAGAAAAAATAGTGCTCTATGCCATTCAATTTTTTTTTTACTGTGGTTTATTACATATTATTTTCTTTTTTGGATACTAGCTATCTAGATAAAATATTACTCTACTAAACAAAATATTTGACTACTCAAATTGTCTAATTTCCCAACCATACATGAGTAATGATTTATTTTACAAGTTACAATCATATCATTAAAAAAATCTCAATATCTATTATAGGGGAAAACTGTGCAATTGTTCTTTTCTACAGTTAATGGCTAATTTATGTTATCTTGCTTAAGCATTTTATGATCCTTTTCAATTTACAGGAATTTAGAGGTCCCTTCTGGCTTTAGAAGGAGAATAGAGGGTTTATTTCCATGTGGCACTGATTTTTGCCATAGGTAGTGGCAATACTGCTCTAAAATAAAAAGAGCAAAGGTCAGTGATAGATGCCCTCAGTGTTTATCTGGAAAATGAGGCCTACTTAATAGGTATGGGTCAAAACGATATCAACAAAAAGCAGTTATAGAATTAAAATGGCTAAAATTGTAATTTCTAACGAAGTAGTGGATACTTCTTGATCGTAAAATGATCCCCACAATATCTTCTAGGTTCACATCTCTTTGGGTAAACACATAACTTTTTAAACATATTCTTTTTAAATAATTAAAACGTTACTAATCCCTTATCTGCAAGTGCCCTTTAAGAATACCCTACATCCCTTCCTTTCCCCACATTACTTAGTAGCTTGAAATGCAGTCCAGCGCTCTAAGTGAAGTGAACCTAAGCAGTTGACTGTTTCCATTCACAACATGTGGCTTGAATCCCCGTTTTTAGCTCCCTGAGGTATCAGCCCCAAAGCCCTTCCTCACATACACCATCACCGGCTCCATCTTTCTACCTGGTTTCCCTACCCTATTCGAGCTGGATGTGGGATCAGTTCAGTCTGCAAATTACAATCTGACAGTTCAACACGCTGTTACCACAGCTGTTTGTAAACTGTCCTCACCTCCCCGGATTCCTATTTTGCAGCCTTCGAGATGGCGCCTTGAGCTGGAAAATGAGTTTGTAACAAAACTTTTCTTCGCCAAGTGGTCAGGCTACGAGAGCAGCTCTGATGCTGGGGGAGTGGTGGTGGTGGTGGTGGTTGGTGGTGGTGGTGGTGGTGGTGGGGGCATAGCATGGCAGCGCGATGCCCTCATCTCCATCTCTCAGTCCATCTCTGGGCTCACGGAAAAGGGGGCGGAGAGGAGAGAGAAGAGAAAGGGGCGGAGGTCACCCTTGTCTTCCATCCCTCCCAGGCTGCGAGCGCCGCTAGGTGCTGAGGGATCCGAGGAAACGAGCAGGGCCGGCAGGTTCCGCGCTGGGGGAGCGTTCTGCGGGGCCGGCAGCGGGACTCAGCTGGAGCCTGAGCCCGAGCCGGGAGCGGATCGGGAGCGCAGCGCTGCGCCGGGCACCGTGGCGATGGCGCACGGAGAGGCGCGCTCCTCTGCTCCGCCGTGAGCCCTCCGGAGCCCGGGATGCCAGGTAACCACCCCTCCAGCCGCCGGATTCCCAAGCATTGGCCTCCGATGCTCAACTGCCACGGAGGTGTAGCCACCCCAGCCCCGGACGCCCAGGAGGGCGCCTAAGCCTGCGTGTGGCCACAAGTTTGGACCAGATGCCCGCGGTGGGGAGACCCATAGACAGAAGGGTACTCGGGCGGATCCGTTCCCATTCTCAGCAGCGGCTGGAGGAGCAGGTAGACAGGATCTCTGAAGAGGGAAACAGGCAAGAAGGAGATGATCCCCTTTGCGCCTGTGATTCCCTGCCCCCCTTCTCCCCCCGCAGACCCTGAGTCCGGCACCCTGGCCAGCGCTGGCCTTTGGGGCCTCGAGCCCCTCGGGGTGGGAGGAAAACCGGCCTTTGGCGCCCCCCCGAGGGTGGGTGGGAGGAAATCTGGCTTTTGGCGTCCCCCAGGGTGGTGGGAGGAAAACCGGCCCGCTGCTATTTGAGCGATTGCAGAAAGTTTCAGCAAGGAAGGAGGTTTGGGAAGGATGTTGCAAACAGACCCACGGGGGCGGAGGGGGGCAGTAATGTGAGAAAGGCGGGCGGTGAGTAAGATTGGAAGGAGGCAGCCTGGGCAGACCCAGGCGGGCGGGTCCCAGGCCAGGCTGGTTCCAAGCATTCCCACCCTCCGGGAAAGCTGCTTGGGAAAAGGCCAATCGGACTACCTCGGGACGGGGTGGGTCTGGTCGTGGGTATTGAGGGTCTGTGACTCAGGCCTGAAGGCATGAAGCAAAAATCGACGAAACATACTTCGCATTGGACGTTGCTACGTGGCTATGCTTAAGCTGTAGCTTAACCAACATCCGCTGGGCAGATGTGCGCCTCGCACACAGCTCGCTTCCCTTCCTGGGATTTCTGCGCAGGTGGCAGCTGCCCCAGAAAGCCTTTCTAGAGACTCACTGCTCTGCCTTCCCTTGGTTGCTGGTGCGTGCGGTGAGCTGTTATTTGATCTCAATCAAAATAGTTTCAGAACTTAATTGAGGAAAGCCCCATGTAACACCAGTGACCTTGCTGCCTCCTCCCAAGGTTTGGGGAAGCTTGTTTTGTCTGCCTGGCAAACAGGTCTTTTATCCAAGCAATAATCTGCAGTTTGGGGACAAAGCCCATTTGGGAACCCCCTTCCCCCCCCCCCCCCAAAAAAAAAAACCCCAAACAAACAAACAAAAACAAACAAACAAACAAACAAACGAACAAAAAGCCCCAGAAACTTTAGAAGGTCATCTAGTTATTTACATAGACTCTGGGGCTTTTTCCACACTTTACTGGGTTTCAATCTCATCTTGTTAGTGACTTTGCAAACCCATCAAGTGGTTAATCAAGGGAGCCCCAGTCTCTTTTCCTGGAAAATGAGACATGGAACCACGGGCAGAGGTGTGCTGCCTTCAGGATGACGCAATCCTGCTTAGGATAGGTTGGCTGCATCTGATGCCTACCCCAAGGGACTGGGGCCCTTCGGCCTTCTGCACTGGAGGAACAGTTCTGCAGTGCTATCATTCCTCTGTCTTTATGCCACAGATGCCGGGAGGACAAGCCTGCACTCTTCTCAGAGGGAGATGACTTGAGCAGCCCCCGTCTATCTCCACAACCATGTCCATGAACACTTCCAAACAGCCAGTGTCTCCCGCAGCTGGGCTCCTTTCCAATACAACGTGCCAGACGGGCAACCGGCTCTCTGTCTTTTTCTCCATAATCTTCATGACGGTGGGGATCTTATCAAACAGCCTCGCCATTGCCATACTCATGAAGGCCTATCAGAGATTCAGGCAGAAGTCCAAGGCGTCCTTTCTGCTCTTGGCTAGTGGCCTGGTAATCACAGACTTCTTTGGCCACCTCGTCAATGGGACAATAGCCGTGTTCGTATATGCCTCCGACAAAGACTGGATCCGCTTCGACCAGTCAAACATCCTGTGCAGTATTTTTGGCATCTCCATGGTGTTTTCTGGCCTGTGCCCCCTTTTCCTGGGCAGCGTGATGGCCATCGAGAGGTGCATCGGAGTCACCAAACCGATATTCCATTCTACAAAAATCACCTCCAAGCACGTGAAAGTGATGCTGGCCGGGGTGTGCTTGTTTGCTGTTTTTGTGGCTTTGCTGCCCATCCTCGGGCACCGAGACTATCAGATTCAAGCATCGAGGACCTGGTGTTTCTACAAAACAGAACATATCCAAGACTGGGAAGATAGGTTTTACCTTCTCCTCTTTTCTTTTCTGGGGCTCTTAGCCCTCGGGGTTTCCTTCGTGTGCAATGCCGTCACAGGAGTTACCCTCTTAAGAGTGAAGTTTAGAAGTCAGCAGCACAGACAAGGCAGGTCTCACCATTTCGAAATGATCATCCAGCTCCTTGCGATCATGTGCGTCTCCTGCATCTGCTGGAGCCCGTTTCTGGTAAGAGCCGGTGCTGAACCTCTGGAGGAGTGTTGCTTTCTTCTGTGTTTCCATGGTCAGAACAAGATTTGCTGTCTTTTGCAAAGTTATTAGTCTTGGTGGGTGACGCTGTTCAGCCTTTTAAATGCTGTGGTTTGTGCCTTCTTAAAACGTATGTCAGCACCCGGCCCTGGCTGTGAATGGAGCTATTGGTGAAACACACAGTCCCTTCCCCACAAGCCCCGAGGTGAAAGCGATGTCTTTGCTAAGTAATTCTAACAGTATACTTGCAGTGCAGTTTAAAGTAATTTTAACAGAAGTAACACCATTTTAATGTACTGAATATGATTAGTTTCTAAAATGTGGGGGGGAAAAATGACAACTCTAAAATACAATATTGGAGTGGACTCCAGTCTTGTTAGAAAATCACATGGACTTTTAATTTATAGAAAAGGCATATTAGACACTGGGTTCTTCTAAATACACAATGACCGGCTCTCAGCTGGCCAAGGGTGGTGATGAGTGGAGAGAGCTGGATAGTTCAGGTGAACTGTACACCTAGGTCAGGTGAAGAAATCACTTGTTCACAAAGCCAGTAGTGCAGGGAGAGATACGATTGGCAGGGGAGTGGAGGGATTCCGCCCTTGTCATTCATTCTTTAAAAAAAAAATGTAGCCAAAAGCTGTGTTTAACAGCTTGATGTTTTTAGACGTGAAGGCTTAGGTTAAGGAATGGGCAACACATATAAGTCATTTATGTTATTTTGCAAGTAGAAGAAAAAATATTTATGTTTGACAAGTGTGACCTTAATGCCCTTCAATGTTTTCTTTTAGGATAGAAAGAGTGACCACATGCCATGAAAGAAAAAATCCACCTGTACATAGCTACTGATGGCAGCAAAGATTGTTTTCATTCATTTTTCTGTACCAGTGGGGAAATAGGCTGGTATCCAGAGACAATGATATGGGTGACATACAGGTAGAGGTGAGGCAAAGGGTAAGACCAAGGTAGACATACACGAAGGGCATGGTCAGACCCTGCACGGTAGTATGAAGGGGTTTGTTACTCATGCAGTTTTCCTAAGGCTCCAACAGGTCCACTGTCCAAGAACTGTTGCCAGTGGAGTTTAATAAACAATCCCTGATGCACAGAAAAGGGTGCGAGAGCTGCTGACACAGACAGATCCTGTGACATCTAATTTTATTTTATAGAAGGATTTCAACTTTTTGAATATTTTTTTATTTCTATCCATATTATTTTCTCATAATTTGAATTTAGCCTGTTGAATAGTATTTCTTTTTATGTTGTTCCTGAATCTGTCCTAGGAACCCAGCCAAGGTGAGGCTAAACTGGGTCTGTCAGTGGTAAGTCAAAATTTTGAGGCCTGCTTGTTATCAATGTCAGAGCCCTTGAGTGAACCCAAACCTGGATCTGATCTGTGCTCGTGGTCATGGTATAGTTAGTTGAGTCTTAGCAGCTGAGAACAGTTCTGTCAACCCTTGGAATCACTTCAGTGTTCATTCCTGAAGAGCTTAATTTATGCCGCTTGACTCAGGAAATTTCCTTAGAATAATGCTTCTTTTCTTCTTAACTTAACTTTGAAATGCATTAGGTTTTCAAAATAGAAAGTGAGTTTGAATAGAACTAAAATTGTTTTGGAAGTTGGGAAGGGAATACCAAGAAGGTGAGAAAAGAGGTAGTTGAAAATATTTAAAGACTTTTTTTTTTTTTTTTTTGTAAGGTCCTAGTTCTGGAGAAAAACCTTAAAAAGTAAAATATGAACTCAGAGAGAGACAAATAATATGGACACCTGAGGTAATCATTAATATTTTAGTTTTTATTTGTTCTGAGTCACCTTTAAAATTCTGCTTAGTTCTGGCTCTGATTTTGATAAAGCAGAGTCATAGGTTAACTATTGTAAGACTATGGGAGGTAGGAAATTTCATTTTTGCCATGGATATTTTGGTTTTAAGTTTTTCTCTAATGTAATTTTCTGAATTCTTGGGGATTCCTTCACTATTAAAATGGACATTACCATTTCATTCACATTTTGAATATATTTCCTAGTGAAAACAATTTTATTTTCATGAAACATTTTCTGAGGTCAGCATTGTATTTAGCTATGAATTATTGAGACATCTATGACACCAAGGTATTAATACTTCTAAAATGCTTTGTATTATGAAAATTATTTCTGTGTTAGATGCCTAGTAGGTATACCACAGGAACTCCTTGGTGGATTGATATTTTGTTTCAAGCTTTCTTTACATTCTTGGTTTCTCTTGTGCAGACATGGGTCTTCCTGGCAAGTTCAGGCTAAAGGGCTTATACAGTTAGTGGTCTGGATATAAGTGCCTTGGGCATTAAGTTAAGGCCATTCAGACAGCTCTAAATCGAACCCTAATAAAAAGTCAGGCTTGGGAATGCCAAAATAACACCCAACATGAATATCTCTCAGTTGAAACATTTCTCCTTTTTTTTCCTTAAATGCCCAGGAGGAGTTGTATAGTTGTTAATGATGGAGCCATCTTTCTCTACCCTGTATTTTAAAAGCTTCTTAAGTTTTACAAATATCTCTGAAACCAGAATCCCATACATGTATGATAATGATCGCTTCTAGGCCAATGCTGTAATTTATACCACTGCCTTCTGTCTTAATGGATAAGTAGGAATTGCTGGATTTGTAATTTGAATGAATGTCTACACACTCTTCCACCTGTTGTCACTGTCACTTTCAAGCTGGAAACTGGACAGAAGGTCCAGGTACTCACACCAAGAGGAGCAAATTTAGATGATAGAATCTGTGTTTAATAGGACTTACTGCATCAAAATTTATCAATAGTGGCATCAGTTTTAAAATGATTAAATTTGTAGCTGATGACAAAGGGGATACTTTATTAATTTTGATGACTGAGTTTAACCAATACAAAAGCAAGATGGTCATGATGTTTGACTTCTCTCTCTCTCTCTCTCTCTCTCTCTCTCTCTCTCTCTCTCTCTCTCATCTCTGTGTGTTTTTAATAGGCTTTGTTCTTCTTGATTAGTTTTAGATTTACTGTAAAATAAAATGGAAAGCACAGAGTTCACATTTACCCCCTCATATCTCCATTTAACCCCTCATCCTTATTAACATCTTGCATTGGTGACATACATTTGTTACAATTTATGAGTAAGTACTCAATACATTTTTATTGATTAAAGTCTCTAGTTTACATTAGGGTTTTCTTTAGTATTTTACATTGTGTGGCTGTTGAAAAATATATATTGACATATTTCCACAGTTATGTGCCCTAAAAATCCCCTGTGGTGTTTTTCTTTTTAATTTGTGTCACTTTTCCTAAGGGAAAAATATATGTGTGTGGATTGAGATCAGTAGTACAATCATAGTATTAGTTTAAAATATATATTGTTAATGACTTTTTATAGTATTTTTATAATATCTGGATTTTATAATTTTAAACGTGGTTAACACATATCAATTATCTTAATTATAATCCCAACTGAAAAATACAGAAAAGCACAATAGGCATTTATTAGCTGATAATTCCATTTAGTAATAAGTTAATACAAAAATCTTTCAGAGTCTAATAGTAATAATAAATTGTGTTGTGTGCATATGAGATGAATCATTTTCCCTAATAAATAACTCTTCAAGACGTTTTTTTCAATGTTTCTTAAGTGAGGGGAAAAAGACATTTACTAGTGCTATCAAGTAATATTTCCTTAATATTATTTGTTTCTGTTTTTATACAGGTAATGATTCTTTTAAAAGTTTCATTTCTAGGATATATAGCTCTAAAAGGAATTTATTATTATTGCTATGCTTATTTCACTAGCTTGGTAGAGCAATAAATACTTGTTGACTGGCTGACTGTAACCTAAGTAGTATGAATGTCAAGAGATTGCAAATGATTGACCAGAATGTGGATTCTGAGTTTTGTAGGTAGCAGTTAATAAAACAAATACTGTAACCAAATAGTAGTTTTTCATCTGTTCCTTGAGTTAGCAACTATACACTTCTGACACTATTAAACTTCTTTTACCTTCTTTTTGAGATAGAGGATCATTTTGAATTGGGAAAGAAAGTATAAAATATATGAAGAACCAAATGGTTTCTTATGTAGGTGAGTTTTACCTCAGAAATATGTTTTATTACAGCTGAAGAGTTTGAATATGATTTTTCTAAGAGTTTATGTTAGTATTTCTAGTCAATGTAGTTAAACATTTGGTCTCTAAGATGTTTGTCAATATAAATCAAAGTCTTGGGTGGTTAATTGAACTTTGACTGAATTACCAAAGGTATTGGCAGCATAATGACCAGGTCTGAGAGGGACAATGGCAAATGATGGAGCCAAGCAACGTCATAGCACAGCTTGACTCACAGCCAAGATTGTTTTCTTTGAAAGGCGGGCCCTCATTTTCGTATTTAATAGCTGTGTCATGGAAACCTGTGTAGTGTCTGTGCATTTGCCACTACGCCAAAAGAAATGGTTAGTGGATGTACACATTTAAGTATAAAGGAAATGTGAAAATGTATACACATGCACATATATAACATGTACATGTGCAAATGATTTACCCAGTTAAGAAAATTAATTGAACAATCAATCCACCACTACATCTAAATGTCCCAAAAGAAAGGGCTGCTAAAGGATTTCATTCTAAAGTTAAAAACAAAATGGATTCTTCTGTAGTTTTGTGCCAGAACCTGGAAGGTATGTCTTTTTGATTTATTCCTGGGCTGCTGCTGACTTTAGAGGCATTACTGTCATACCTTGTTTCAGGGAGTTTCCTTTGGAAGTGGCATGTGTTCCCATGTTTGGAATTTGGAAGCAGCCATGATATTGTCTGGATAAAGGGCTGATGATAACATTTGGGTTCTTTTCTATTCTAGAAAATTCTTAAAACAACCCAGACCCTTAGAACTCAAAATTCATATCAAGAAGAACAAATATATTTTAGAACTATATTAACATAGTGTACATGATGGGAATTCAGGCTGCTTTTGTGTTTGGGTGGGG